ACATGAACGTTCGGAAGATTCTTAAACGTATCAGGAAACATCTATATATATTAATATAAAAAATAAATTAATAACTGAGAAAAGAAAAAATTTTTTGTTCAATGGCAGTTTTTTCGTTCTTTATACCATTACATACCTCTACCAAGATTTCTCGTTCTTCGTTCAGAGTCGATTGTAAAGCATCGTAGTCAAGCTCAGTGAAGCAGCTCGAGAACACCATTTTTAGCGACTTTGCAACAATTACCCAACACTTGATTATATTGTTAATTACATGGCTGTCTCGTTGCAAGCCCAAACGCCTTTTAAGTTCACAACGAATATGGCTTTTTAAATGGGCAGGTGCTAGAAATCGCCGTAATATAAATGGCACCAGCATTGCAATGTTTAAGACATCACTGAACGAGAAACTATGTAGATGAGTTAAAGGATTCGGCAATGCTGACCATTTTGTGGGTTTTTCTATGCGCTTCCAATGATATAGCCACTGTTCTTGTCCACCATTACTGAATAAATTCATGGTTACATCCAGAAGCTTCAGTGTCTTCCCAGCCATAGAATGGTATGCGTCTTGGGGCGTTTGTTTGTGACGATCCCATATCAACGTATCTAAGGGTCCTGGTTTTAGCATAAGGCCATGCTCTGTGGACCATCGCTCTCGTGCTAGTGAGGTAGACAGATCCTCCAGCTGTTCAATCTTTTGTTCAGTTTCTTGATTGAATCGTGCATTGGCAATGTAGTCATACTTAGAATCTGTAAGGTGCGTCTGATCTGCCATGCAAGTACGGCACCCATGATTTGCTCCATGTCTCTTCACCCTTGCAAAATCGTTCCCCTGTGGCAAATCAAAACTGTCCATGCTTTGTTGACATAAAGATACCGTGTTGGAGAGCTCTTATTTCATGGCAGAGTGGTTCCAAAAAATCATTTAGATGCCCGCCAAAAGGTACAAAGCCGACTAAGAAGTGATTTCTTATTTGTTTTCGCATGCTGAACGGCATATTTCCGAGTTGTAAATATACGCCATTGAGCTTGTAAAAATTATTACGATAAGCCCCAAACTCATCAGCATATAAGTCTATAAAAAGCTTCAGAACTGGAAACTCTGGTAATGTTACAATTTGGGGTATATATTCGGCGGGCAGCTGGTGTCTTTGAGAAATCGATCGGATTTTCCAAGAATTGTAAATTTTGTAAATAATTTCTCCGACTTCATAATCGTATTCGATAGGTGTTGTACTATCTTTAAACCAAACGGCTGCATGTGCTACTACTTCGTGTTGCTGTACAATAACCGGAAATCCTTCTAAAAGCCATTGGGATGTGGCTTGGTTACACTCTCGCTCTGCACTGTAGAAACGTTTGGGGAGTTTTTCATATGTCAAAAGCCTGTCCACTTTGAGACATTCTTCACCCGCCTCAGTTTTAATGATTGCTCGAATCCGGGCAAGATTTCTGCTGCCTTTTTTTATAATAGATACATTAGCCCATTATTCGAAATGATTAGATAGACATTAACGAATTAACACAAACCTTCTTTTTGATAATAAATACACTCCCCACTATGATAAACACCTAAATAAAAATGTTAATAATTAACACATGTGCACATACTCATTCTTTTGGCGCTAGATACATATAAGCATTCGGTAAGACATACTTCTATTAATTTTCAACATATTTTTACCGAAAAATGGCGACTCCTTCCAAATCTCCCCATGCCAAAATTCACTCTTTTTACTTTTCTCAACACCACTACCGAAGTACATTTTCGAATATATTTTGGGATTATCAAGACATTTTTGAATTATATCTTTCACTGATACCATATACGCCGGTTTGGTTAGCACGCTAGTTGATGGGGTATCCTTTGGTTTTATTGCAATATCGTGACTGTATATCTTCGGTAGTGGTAACCGGGTTCTCCATTGTCGTAATCTTCGTATATTACCCACAATGTCACTAGGATTAAACTCCGGATGTCGTAAAATCGTCACAAGGTCGTTATATGCAGCAGTCGCTAGTAATAAAGTGTAAATTTAATATCAAATGGACAACAATTAAATTTAAGCAAAATACCTACATATCATATGTTTTGTCACCCATGTAAAGAACATTGCTGCAGTAAAGTTGGGGAAATATGGACCGTATTGTCCACTACATTCTTCAAACGTATCCAACGGTTCTTCGACAACTTTGCTATAATAATTTGGTAATTCGTCTTCATTCTCATCTTCGCTCTCGATTTCATTTTCAGTTTCATACTCAGCTTCTTCCTCATAATTATCAACATTATAGTAATTGTCGCTACTGCTAATAAACAGCAAAGGGTTTACAATTCATTTACATAAAAAATTTTAGTTATTCAAAGTGAGTTAATACCTCTCATCCCCATCTGAGTCAATGCGTTCATTCTCGTAAAAATATTCATTATTAGATACATCTTCAACCATAGCATCATCACTATGCATAACAATGTCAAAATAATCGTCGGATCTGTCATAACAATTGTCCTCGATGACGGTATGTCTATTAAATTTAGTATCTCTTTGAGGTAGGGTTTGACGATACTTTTCGGTATGCGCGTAAGCCAAAATATTATTTGAAAAATGCGTTGGTTGGTTTAATTGTGACTGCTGTGGTAAATTATCGTAAGTCTTTTGCAGCCTGTTACGACGGCGACTATAACTCTGGCTTTGATCAGCTTTACAATAATATCTACGCATAATGGAAGAGGATATGATCGTCTGCAAAAAGTTTGGCTTGAGACTACAACAGAAATAAATTTTAAATGTACGCAAACCAACTTTTATATTTAAATTTGATAGACCGAAAAGGACCAAAAACAAACATTTCCGTACGACACTGCAAAAGTTTATTTCCTTATTCTGCTACAACACGGTCTACTATCGTTTAATACCAAATACTAGTTAAATATTAAATAATACAGTCTTTTAATGTCAATACAAACGTTGATTGTCAAAGCATTATGAATAAAGACATTCAATGCAAGGGAATATGACGACCTGTCCTGTTACCGAATAGTCCTAATAAACAACATCGCGGCTATTTTAAAGCCATCGCGCAAACTTGTTGTCAAAACATCACGCACGTATTACAAGACGCTCTAACCAGATTTACTATACCAAAAATTTTAAAATCACAAAGCTTAGAATCATCACGACATTGGTGGTCAAACATAACAATCAAAACATTCTAACCAGATTTAATATGTCACCAAATAACATAATCAAATCAACAGGCTAATCAAATTTATTTAGCGTTGCTGAGTCAGA